ACAATCCGTTTGATAGCAAAGAAATATGTCTTCTGTTTCTTTGTTTATTTTAATTATTACCTACTATCACATTTTTCTATATTGATATTATAAAGAAGAAAGATTCGATACAGCTGACGTCATCTGCAATCGCTAACCCACCTATATACTATGAATCCAAGTGATGGGCGTTAACTACGGCTCATTCTCCCGATTTGATTTGATTCCACCCATTGGGAAAGCATATGCCGCAGCAATGGTGAGATTAAAAGGCTGATGAATAAGGAACAAAATTTTATATTCGAATTTCAACAATTGGGCGTAACCACTAGTAAAATGCAAAATCATGTCCTTCGAGCAACTGAAATTTTCAATAGACATTTCTAAAAGATCTTCTGTAAAATTATTGAAGGCTGTTATAAAAGAATCATCGAGCGTAAATTGTTTGATACTAAAACCTCCCGCTATTATATATATTCATTTTATTTTCTCAGTCAAAAGCTCAGCATTTCAGAACAAAAGCTTTTAAAAGAATTATGTACTTTTGCTCTACAAGCTATTTTCCAGCGATTTCTCTCGCGTAAATTATATTCCCTTTAGGTGAAAGAATTTTTGAAATCGGTCTATAATTTCGGAGCCTATTAGTGCAAACAAACAAACACTAAAATCATAATATTAGTATAGATTATATTTTGAACTTACTTTTGCTCTCTTCGATTGATTGGAATTAGCATCTGAAATAACCAATTTTTTTTTTTCATATAATTTATCATCAGCTCTTTTATGACCCTACTGTAGAGGCTCTGGCCTTCCTTATGGATGAGTAAGGAGATTGGGCCACAACTCTCCACGCTGGCCCAAAGCGGATCGCAGGGTATTAATGACTGCAAATGCAGCCGGGAACATTGGCTTGACGTACCTTCGGAAGAATGGAGAAAATATTTTTTTAGTCATCCATCACGTGACCGACCCTTGCAAAAGTATCTTATCCACTACTAGCTAGCTTATTTAAAAATTACTATACAAAAACTAATTAATATTTTTAAAAGTCTATAGATGATAAAATGGTGATAAAAACCGTAAGAATGTAATTAACTGAATGATTATTAATGACGAATGATTGTATACAAACTTCTAATCCATTTTCAGTAGTTCATGGGATAATTATCAATATAAAACAATCCTTATCCTTCCCAAGCTCTCATTAATCTAAATTTATTCCATATTTTAAGCATAAAAGCGTATCGGACATGGTAATATGAGTACATAGCGGTTTTACTTACTGCTAAATTTTATTTGCAATCCTTTTATTTTAAAGAATCTCAGACCAAAACTTTTACTAAAAATATTTACTCTTTAAAGTATATAGTTTAGAACGTGAAAATCGCTTTTTATATTTTTCGACGCTACTATCTGGTAATGGCATAATGGTCTGTTAGGCAAAGAGCTGTAGATTTAACAACCATTCTCGTTACTCTGCGAAACGACCTCAAAAGAATCTTTTGAAATTATAAATATTTCAATGAAAATTTTAGTATAAAACGAGATCATTAGAAGGTTTATTTTTATTTCAGTCAACTTTTGTATTAACTTACTCATTTCTTGTTTGGTCTCTCGATTCTTGACAATCAATTCCCGTTATATAATTATTTGTATACTAACTGTTTTCCTGCGGTTTTTTATTTATTTTGCCCGCTTTAATTTTAACCACTATATACTATATCACTCGTATATGATTTAGTCCTCGTAAGTGAAAAATCTAAGGCCTAATTTTCTAACTTTACAATGGATCGGAATCCTTCTTTCAAATTTGACATTCAAAAGATATTCATGAACTTTACGCTATAACTATTTAATATTTTAATGTGATTACATTCACAAAGTTTTTGTGTAAGATGTTGAATTAACAATACAATTAATTTGACTAAGTGTCAAGAAAAAAAGTGCTTTCAAAGCTAGTTGTTTTTCCTTGATAGTTTAGTGGCCCTATAGAAATGTCAATTTTTTTATAATTAAGATCTGGTTCTGTAAAATGAACTTGTGGTTCTGTGAAGTTTAAATTTTCGTTTTGTTTGGTCAAAGTGATGAGAGAACGACACCTCTTTTCTGAAAGCCTCGTTGCATTGAAAGTTATTGAAAAATACCAAACGACTGCCGAATGTTTCTTGATAATTCAAATCATAATGTGTTCCGAAAGAGCTAATTTGAACGTTGCATTATCCCATATCGCAATCACAGACGATAATAAACAATTGGCCACCGATCGTCCAAACAAACAAAGTGAGAAAATTTACCACTTTATAATATTAGTATAAATATTTTCTTTTCTATCCCGAATTGATTTATGCGCCCTCGTAATCTCACACTTAAAACCGGTGGCACGCTTGTTTTCAATCACTGGTGCAAAAAAATAAATAAAAAAGAATCCCTTACGACACACTTGAATTTCACTTAGCTCACGTTCCCTATATAAATCAACTGCCGGCCGGCATCCAACATCAGAACGACATGTAAATATTGAAATTAGGTTTCGTCCCTTCTCATGCATCTTGTTTGTACAAATCCGTTCTCAAATCAATCGCAATGAATGTTATTTTTATAGATTAATTTCTTTAAAGCTCTTTATTTTTTACATTAATTTTAGACGTCTTCCAATTAATTGATAATAAGAATCCCAAAAAATTTAATATTACAAAATACCAAATTTCTCTAATCGATTTAATACACTTATTAATTATTATTCGGTCAAAATGTATTACAGAAATTTGATTTGTAGTTAAGTACCTGATGGACTGCTGTATTTATACCTATAGTATTTCTTCCACTTCTAATAATATGTGGGAAATGGAACGGTAGGTTAGTATGCAAAAGATAGTAAGTTGAGCGTATGCATTAGGAGTGAAGGAGATAGTAAATAATTTTAAATAAAGTATAGAAGGAGATCGAGCGAGGAGGAGGATTTCACACGATGATACGGTGTGCATGTGCTTATTTAAGAAGTTTAAAAGATTCCAAACCAAAGACGATTTGCCCAAATCCATCTGATTTATTCCACAAATCTCTCATAATATTTGTCTGTTAAGCTAATAGGGATGACGACTAATTTTTGTTTTTCTATCCGTCAGGTGGATTATTGAAAAATATTAAAAACGTACTCTTTTAATTTTCGCGTATTCAATAAATTACGGCAATATATTAACTTGAAATGTTAATGGTCCATTTTCTACAAAACTGTGACGTAGCGAACCCCCACTCCTCAATTTAATGCCTAATAACTAAGCTATTTCTTGTTCAAATTGAAGAAAAAAAATACGTATCTAATATTTCTCTATTATCTGACTGGCGGAATAAATAGAAATTCTTTTTTTTACCCAAGCGTCATCTCTATCCAAATACTGATATTTAAAATTTCAAAATGTTTAATGCATGAAATAAAATATGCTAAGCCGATTTCAACTCAACTATTTCGATCTAATTAGTGGGTCAAATTTAGATTCCAGCTAACTCGAATTTAAAGGTGGCTCACGAATTAATAATACCTTTGAAAACTATCTTAATTAAACGAATTTTTAAGCTCCTAAACATGAGACTGTCTGCTCCTTATTTATATTATTAGTGTGTCTGATGCCATTCATACTTGAATAATACATTAGTGTTTTTCTTATATTTCATCAATTTTTCATTTTCATTGCTATACCTACTGAAAAAAAATCAACTTTGTCCGTGTCACTCTGAGATCATCCCATCTCATCTCAGAGTGCCAGGGACAGAGTGGATTTTTTAAATATTTTTGATTAAGAACTTTAGTGTACAATAAACTGTTCGAAAGTTTTAATTTTGATTTTAAAAGTTACGAAATAATGAACGAAGTAAACCACACTTCAATTCTTCTATGGAACTATTTAGTCTCAGCTTCTATGGAAGATTTAAGTCTCAGTACTAATCTTAGATGGAATAATAGGTATCATTGCTTGTACCGAAGTCCAATACAATAACGCTAAGTGGGAATAAACCTAAAACTGTATCGTGAAGGTTTGTTCTTCTCAGTAAACTTTCTTCTATTTTTTGCTCTCTGTTTTGAACTGTTCAAAAGAGTTAGCGTTTGCGCGCTCTGTCTGCTATATGGTTGTTAAGCAACTTCCGTAACGGCCGGCCATGGGATGGGTGACCAAAAATTTATCGAGCTCCTTCGTGCTTCGTTGGTCGCTGGTGCACCTGCAGTCGTCACCAAACCGCACTGGCCCATTCTCTATGAGATTATTTTTAACAGGAAAAACAGTACTTGTTAAGTTTCTTGCCGGTACTTCTCCAAAGTACAAATCCGATCATGAAAATACGTTCACCTACGAGAAGCTACATCATACTTCATCATCAGGCTTTAATTTACGCCGGCGAAGTCGCAGTAATATATCTACTTTCTTGTACAAGGTGGAACGAGAATCAAAACGAAGCCGATAACTTTGAAATCTATACACAAAATTAAGTATCACAAAGAAATATAGCTGGGAAACGCCATAAATTCATATAAATATATATATTGTCGGAGAGTTGAGCAATTGGCTTATAGATGGCACCTGATTCGTTGAATAGAAAACACCGATGTTAGCACAGTCACTATTTATTTTGTGGATAACACAAATGCGTATATTACACAAGCATAGTCGGTGGAGGAGAGAGGGTGGAAACGGAACAACCACCATTTTAACATTTTTAATGTGGCAGTGTTGCCAACATTTATGTATTTATATATAACTATTAGGAGAACATTGTCTAACTTCAAGGTGTGAACAAGGTCACACTCCTTCTGAAAGATTTTCTAGATATTCCCATGATACTATCATTCATCATATTCCACATTTTAAACGGTAGTATATCGTTTTATTAATTATCGTTGCTAACCCCCGAACCTCCACATGCTTATTTACTCCTAGTTTACTGAAAAAGAGACCAGTATCTTACCTAGTATACATAAAAAAATAGGTAGTTTGTAATCAAAAAATGATTTTCTTTAAAGCAAGTAAATGCGAGTTTCTGTACGGTGGCTGAATAAATATTCACGCTCCACTGAAGCCGAGACGGCGACGAGCAACGAATCGTACAAAGTCTTAATTTGTTTCAACGTTTCTTATAATATTTCTGCATTTAAAATGCTTTCTTAAATTAAAATAACTCTTAAATTTAAAGAAATATGCCTGGTTAATTAAAATAACGTGACTCTTATACGACTACATTTAAAGACAGACGCCTGTTGTACTTACAACAGCTGATAAGCTATGTCATCTAATTAATTTAAACCAAAATAAATCCGTAGAAAGAATTTTGCGATACGCGTTGGCACTGTTTAGTGGATTATTACTCCTATGTGATTCTGACCATATGTGGCTCCTGCTTTTGGAACCTTAATAAGACTTATAATGATTCGACTGACGAATAAAAAAGAATAAAACGTGGATTAGAACTGGAATCCGCAACTTAATGTTTCAGTGATTCAGAGATTAAACTCATAGCTCAAGTAATAAAAGAATCAGCAGAATTTTTCAATTGGGAATATTTAAGACGTCATTTTTTTTTTATGAAATGGAGGGCAAATGACTGCGCTCCACCTGATGGTAAGCGGAGGCGTAGTCCAAACGCGAGGACAGCTAGTAATATTTGATTTTTACGTAAATATTCAAACGAATACTGTACCTTATTCAATTGTTATTACGTTCAAATTAACTTGATTCAAAAACATCGATAGCAAATATAAATTTTATCCGTATTCCTTAGTAACACGATACATATTTGCGTACAACGAAGATCTTATTCTGAGTTGCATCTTAAGGTTTGACCCTACGTAATCCTGAAAGCTTTATTGCCATTTAATTTAAACTTTATTGAAGTTAGTAGGGTAGTTTCGATGGTGAAAAATAAGGGAGGATATTACACAAAAACTAAAATTCACATCGTTTTAAACATAGAGATTCTGATTTTGAGTCTTAACGATGAATATGATAGATAGCGTTTTCGCGGGTATAAAATAAGTTTAAATTTTGAGACAAGAAAAGTTTACTTTTCTGAAATATTTGTTTCATGGCTTTTTAAAATTAAAATAAACAGTTATAAGTATTAAAAGTTCAAACGGAGTAGAATACTCTATCAACAGACTTTATATACAAAATATCCATAAAATAAAAGCATCTTGGAATTTCATATATCTTGTAATTTATAAAAGTTGCATGTGTTGCAATCATTACCTAACTATCAATGTATCAATAAAAGATTTTGAAAAACTGACTTTAATGGTACCTATCGGTATTTAATACTGAAACTTTCTTAAACTAGCTATCAAGAGCTGGTTTTATAGTCAAGCTTTTAGAAGCACGTGTGGTAAGCTTCTCATCGCGTACCGTGAGCTCCTTCCATACTTTCATTGTTAGCTAAATCGTGCGGACAACCCTCACTTATACCGCAGGCGGATGTCATTTACCACTACTAATGTAAATACATACACCATTAACAGTGTAAATACGCCAATTAGTGGTGTAAATTCGCCATTATCAGTGTTGACGACAGCATTGCCTGACTCTTTTGATGTGTTTTTACAAGTTTTAATTTGAATTTTGTCACTTTTGTCTATTGCTATCTTTTTCTCGTCTTTTTAAATATTGTATATATTTTTCAATCTATTAAATCTTTAAGTAACTACAGTCTACGCTCCTGCTTTCGATTTCAGCCAGGGGAAATCCGCCATTATTATTGTAAATACGCCATTACCCAGTACATATATGCCACTTCCCTGTGCATACACGCCATTTTTTACCACATGTACAAACTTGACTATAGAACCAGTCCTTTATCTAATACGCTTATTTACGCTTAAGGTTCCTTAAATCCGCCCGGTCAACAAATAAGGATTAAAACATTAAACATGTTATGAATCAAGTAAATAAGGGTTTTACTGAACAATTTCTGGGCAGGATATTTAATTGTAGCTTCGGTAATTATTAGATTAGATACTTTTTGCAATTAATGTAATGAACTATAAGTTTTGTAAAAAAATACTACTCTGCATTGGAGAGAGCTATACTTGGTTGTTTCACTACACGATTGAAATAGAAATGAAGACGACTAATATTGGTTCGAAGAATTGCTCAGCTGAAGTGGCAGTGGGTGATGTAGTGATAAAAAGCAAATGACAAATGGTGCTGAAAGGTTTTTAAATCTCGGTAATGAACTATACGATGCTCTATTGGTAGATCTCCAACCAGATGGACCTACGATGATCTGGTAAAGATTGCGGGAAGAAACTGAACTCCACACGTTCTGTATGAAATTGATTTATCGCAATCGTCTGCTGGTTGATGTCACCGAAGATGTAGGCATTCGACATTAAAACTTCGCTGAACTCGAGAATAATTTATTAAAATAGAGTAAATACTTTTAATTTTAAGTTATTCGAATGATGGTCCTATTATCATAACCTCTCACTCTCACTCTCTCTCTCTCTCTCTCTCATTGCTTGAGAATAATTGAATATTATTATTTTTTTTGTACCGAGGGGAACTGACCTTAACATGCCGTCGACCTTGATGAGAGGCCGACTGAACCCGGGCTCTCCTGATGCGGAGGTTAAAGAACCCCTATCTAGGTCACGGAAGGCGTGCAGAACCCCCCTTATTACCCTCATATAAGCCTGGAACCTGGTATCTGGCAAGAAAACCCAGGTTCAACCTCTGTGCCTACATTACATTACTCATACGAATTAACATAACATCTGAGGGCCTACATAATTTAGTTTTCCGAGAAATAGAATAGGCATTCTAATATCACCTTAATTTGTACAAGTAAGAAATACACTCCTCGTACGAATTAATATGACACTACAATGCCTATTAGAAATGAGTGCTGATCATTATGAGCTAACCTACTAAAGCATAGAGTTGATGCATGTAAAACAATCTCCAATCAGTCATTATCAGGCTATAAGTTGAAATTCATATAACCAATTTGGATCGGGAGTCCGAATTGGCAAATATTCAAAATGTGTGCCTATTTGAAATGCCCTTATTACAGTAACAATGATTTCACTCTCGGTGTAATATACTCTGCACCTGATTCTAAACCGACTGAAATATTCTTAATTACGCACATAATTAATTTCTTTATTGTAATATTAAAAAACTTACAACTAATTCAGTATTTATTATTTAATGATATTTTTTGCTAGTCATCTCTTAATTGTGACTTTTTAACAAGATATGCTCTTGACTATTTCCTAATCATTCAGACTGAATTCATAGAAAAAAAAGTTACTCTAACAAAGTTTTTTATTTAATAGTTATTTAATTAATTTGCAAATGTATTCTTCAGGAAAAAATAATCAGCTGTTTCATATTGTTAGCAAATGTAGGTATTAAACAGATGTTTTTTTTTTATGAATTCAGTGTTGCTCCCATAGTAAAAGTTATCCGGCATACTTAACTCATCCACTCCACGAGGTCCTGGTATATAATATTATTACACCTTAATATATGAAAATTTCCTATGTGTACTATACAGATTCTTAAAACCAAAACCTTAGCAAGTCTTATTATACTTACTGAGATGAGTATGGTATACTCAACTCTATAGGTATGTAGCACAGATCGAATATTGTATTCGTACTTACGATCTTATTAAATGATATTTTTATACTATACAGAATATTGTCCCAAAGATCTTAGCAAGCCTTAGTCTAATACTGAGATGTGTATGGTATATTCAGCTCTATAGATATGGAGTATACCATATTCTGAGTATACCATACTCATTTGTATCAGCCCTACTACACTTTCTTTTTTGTTTAGGTATGTAACATGTGTCCAATAATAAGTCATGATTTTCATTTTTCAGATTACTCGAGAATAGAAGATTGATCAGCCAACTATTCGAATGACCCAAATGCGGTCAGACTATATGCGTCAGCACTCAGCAAAACCATAACCATGGTGAGTTTATTACCTGTTTACTGCCTATTGAACTATGAGTGGACCGATGTTGGCGCAGTAGTTAGCGTGTGCGTTTTGAAATTGCGGAATTGAAGCAACTTTCCCAATGGTCGGTTATTGGATGGATGACCAAGAAATTATTTTATTCCATTTTATGTAAGGAGAGAGCTGACATTATTTTTATAAAATTTTATTTTGTTTCGGATCTCTATCGTATCTTAATAATCATTATTTGTTTTTATAAACACATATTATTTTTGAACTGCTTCTGATTACAGCATAAAAAGTATTGTGCGATAGTTTGTTTTGATACTTTGTCGTATGGAATTTTTAAAGGTTAGGTAAAATTAACGGTTTATCACTTTTACAAATACACTGATTTCTTTCAGCACATTGTCACAGACAACAGGTTTTCTATAGGTATTGCTTGAATCTTCTACGGCTAGATTCAAAAATAAATCAAGGCCCTAGAAGATTCTTATTGATTCAAAAAGAGAATTTAAGCACTATGTTTTAGAAAATAAGAACACATTTAAATACTTTAAGACCAATTGTGTAATTTATTTAACTACTTATAGAATTCCAAATACAGTTACTTACTGAAATCGATGTTGGAAAACAAAATAACATCGAAGGGAGAACTAGGTTAAGTGGCAGTTTGTTCGTGAACCGAGTGTTTTACCATAATGTTTTCTTTAGTTGTCGTCCGGAATGTTAAAACTTCAAAAGCCTTCTATTATTCACGGCCTGATTAAGTTCAGAGAAAAAATCTACGTGGTAAGAAGAAATACTATAATAGAAATTGATGAGATTAATTAAATATACACTAATCTAATACACATACTAACTTAAGTTCTAGATTTAGACGTTTCTACTTCTATCATTGTCAATTTATTTTAACTAACCAATGACTTAAGCTAATTACTAACTCTAGTTCTCTTTTATATTACGACAGATAGAGTTCTTCAAAATATACGATAAATCGACATAATACTTTTTATAGCAGATTCTGACAGATTAAAACATATAATTAATAAATGAAAACCAATTTTATAGAACTTTATTTAATGAAAATTCAACCACCGTAGATCAAGATGGAACCCGAGCCCATGACCTTTAACTGATCGAGCTATTAGGCAATAAGTATTCTAAAGTAGTAGTATTAGGCAATAAGTATTGAGTATTTTAAATGTCAGTTTAGTCTAAGCTGATGTGGGATTAAGTGAGATGTGGGATATTTTCTTGAGGTATACTATTGTATACTTTATTAAAATAATATATGAAATAAAAGTAATATGTAGTAATATACACACGAACAATAACATCGGCTTCGCCCGCGTGGACCCTAGGGAAATGTTAAGTGGTATAAAAAATATCCTATTATTTAAGTCAGCTAACACCCTATCTGTATACCAAATTTCATCAAAATCCGTTCAGTAGTTTCGGCGTGATTGACGTACAAACATCCAAACATCTAAATATCCAAACAAAGAAACTTTCACATTTATAATATTAATAGGAAATTAATAGGATTACAGAATATTATGTATTGTATTCAGCAAACCCCTAAACATATTAAACCCCCAAAAAAATCCCATCCCACTCAATAACCCCCTAAAGTTGGGGGGAAAACCCCTAAGTTGGGAACCGTGCATCTTTTATTAATAAATATTCATCTGTATAACATTGTGATATTAATTGTGAATGCAAAATCATAAATGACTATGTTGGAAAGACTGCTATCAAATCCATATTGATCTGACCAAAATCGAGGTCTAGAGCGAGGCCAGAGGGTCCAAAGTTATCCATGGAATTTATTTATGAAAACGAGCTTTATAACTGTGTATGGTAAAACAATAATGTATATAGCAAATGTGAGTAAATGACGTTATACCGCGATTCACAATTGTCCAGCACCATCTATTATCCCAAATTGGAACTAATTGTATTGTGTAAATATATAACATTTACTATTCGCTTTATATTATGCTATAGTGTTTAACTATATTTATAATTTATTTTATATGCGTTTACTTATTATATTTTTATTTATATAAAGTATGAACACATCATTAAAAAATAGTAAAATGAAACAAAGAGGCGTAATAAAATTTCTAAGATATCTTATCCAGTGGCTAGAGTAGCTAGAGTTAGACTGTCTCTCTGCTGGAAAGCGTGTGAGACATTCGGCCACGGCAATGAAGATGCAATATCTATCATCCACAAAAAAATACTAATATCTGTAGTTAAAACCATAATATACCCTTAAATAATTCAAAAGTCGACTACAAGTTAAAGAGACTCCCATACGACAATGATTATGATGATAAACTCCTATAAAATATCCATAAATCAGTGGTGTATTACACTTTCCTTCAGTCGAGGCCATAATATGGCCCACTTGGGACGACTTCCACATACTTCTCGTTCGCCAAACACGATATGAACATCGCGACGGTTGTTTTGCAAACGCAATTTGCAGAACTTCGCATCGTAGATTGGTTTATAATAAGTTTCATGATTGGATACGTATTAGATCTACGTTTGCATCCATACAATTGACAAATTTTGCTCTCATAATGTTCTTTATGTTTCACACAAAATTAAGTTTTAAAATTAGATATATGTACGGTACGCGAAGGAGGTCTTTGTCTTGAATTTTTTTTTATCTTAGGCTTAATTTATCAGTTCATAAATTTACTTTTAATAAGGTGAAAAATGTTATTAATATTATCATTTGCTTGTCGCTCAAGCTTCAATATTTCTTTCGGCTAAAACAGGGTTGATTGCCTGAAATACGCTCTGTAGTGGCGAAAAAGTAACAAGAGCTTGAAAAATTTAACAGTCCCGTTAGGTCCTGGCTCAGTGGTTAGAGCAGTCGCCCGGATTGCGAAAGGTCGTTGGATCGGGTCCCATTTCAGAGTATCAGGGACTACGTGGATTTTTTAAGCAATTTTCATTAAGAATATTTTTCTGTATAGCATTGTGTATGCAAAATTTATCAAATCGAAATATAATAGTTCACTCCTTTTACTATAGGTATTTGAGCAATTTTGCATTCGCAGTATTATTTTTCATTGAGAATATTCACTCTTTTCTGACGCATTTCACCTTTTACAGTCTGAGTGTAAAATGGATCTGTTCTTCAATCTTTTTCTTCGTGTATTTTCGTCCTCATTCATGCTTATAATTTTGCTATTTAAATATTGGATATTATATTCCCGAAACGGAATTCGAACCAGTGCTACTGCTATAGGTACTACCTTCTCAAACAATACTTTACTTCTAGTAAGCGTATTTTACCAACATTTAGTTTGAATATATGCAAGTGTTTACAGCAAAGTATTTTTACGTTTATAATTCTGAAGTAACCTGGTTTAAGAGGGAATCTTAACTTTGTTTTGACTTTAACATCCGATTTCATAAAATCCCTATCACATAGTAAAAGAAGTATACGTTATTTATTTTCGTTTATTCTCCGAGTGTAGGTATTTTAGTTCAGATAAAATTTATATTCTACTCTCTCACAATATATCCGAGTTAATACACGATTATTCTCTCATAGAAACCCAAGGGAAGCGCGATTTATCACAGCCGCAATCTTGACTGCTAGCAAACTATATACGCAAGTATAATATTTGATAGATCTTCGACCTTAAGTGTATTTAGACTTAGAGTTGAATATGATGTTCATGTGAATGCAAATCTACAAGCGACTGAATATCCGTTGACGGAAATAACGCGGCAAATGCAACTCAAATTGCATTCAAATTAAAATTGATGGTGGAAAAGCATCTAGTACGTAGGTATAAAAATCAATATAGTTTTTACCCATTTTATAGACAGTTGCACAAATGTCCATTAAGTCTTGATTACGCCTTTATGCTCTAATGAAATTCAAATTTGTATGGGTAATGTTGCTTTAAACTAACGACAATTTTAATGGACGTTTGTGCAACTAACTGTTAGTCTGCTGATGGACTTTTGACGACCTTGCCGCTGTCATTCCCTATTTCTGTAAGTCAGCACCAAAGGTCAACACATACCTATGAAACTACCACAGTATTTGTGATGGCTGCTTTTGTGTTATCTTTTTGGGGTAGAGAAAGAACAACCTTTAAAATATTTACCTACTGCTCAATCTCTTGAATCTCTTGTTTTCCTCAGTACGGGACGTTGGCAAAATTTCAAAAATAAAAAATACACAACGGATAACCCGTCGCGTCCATACTAACGTATACTTATGTTAGACGCTTGGCACGTCTTCACATCAGATTTACTTATAAATCACCTCCTAAACCATGCAATTAATTTCAATTTTATTTAGGAAAGTATTAATAAAAAAATTATGAGTTTGAATCTTTATATTTAACTTTTTTTGATGTTAAGGATTCCTTGCAGAATCCTATCTCTGACCAGTACAGATTGTGCAGATCGTTTCAAATTGTTACCCTTTGTTATGTACACACTGCGCACAAAGATTAAATTACCAAAGACCGAACGCTAAACTCAAAGCAAGGCATTTTCAAAAGTCTAGAGATACTTTGACAATGAAAAGGCTTTTAAAAATACTTAGTGGTCAATGCCTTCTGTAAGAACAATTTAAATGTTATATAAGATCTAATTAGTAGTTTTCCTTGATATCGTTATGTCCAAATGTAATTCTCGTTCTAAACTACACCTAAATTAAGTAGAAATGGTTATCGTAATCTAATTTCTAGAATTCGAGAGTATTCACTGTAAAGTTGGAACAGCGAAGTTAGTAATGTGATAGTTTGCTCATCCAGTATGACAGGCGCTAATGTGTGATTTCTTCTTTGGCACATTCATTCTCAGCATGAGATTGCTATAGTCCAATGTTAATGATCTATTACCAGTCCTTCAATCATAGACTATGTTGCGAGATGAAATGATTTTATCATGACATGATTTTGAAAATATTTTATAACATTGTTTGTCAATTAAAAGAAAACAAATGTACTGCATTAAATAATTCTAACGAGAACTTTTGAAGTTTTATTCAAATAAACTGAAAAACACATAGGATTTAATAAAGATGAGAAAAAACTAAAAATGGACGGTAATGCGTTAAAATTGAAACCAACTTTTAAATCAGATACTAATTTGGGTATTTTATTACTGTTCAAAATTAACTGAACGCAATGACAACTTGAAAGGTCAATGTACGATATTTGTTAGGTAGGTAGGTATTTGCCCTAGATTGACATTTAAGCTCTTGATTTATTAATAGAGTCAAATGTATGGTTCTTACGTGGTTTTTACCTACCATGTTTCAAGCTATTTATTTTTCATAGAATACTTTATTACGATTTACAACTGGCACAATACACGTGTTCGAAAAGATTACCTTAATTTATTTTTTCATTATGCGTCGATGTCGTGGATTGCGAGTGATCTTAACCTTAGTGTGTTATAAACTCACAACCTTAACTTGATTAAGATCGTTAACTATGTGAAAATAGAGTAGCTTTATTTTTTTTTGGCATCAAACAGTCATGTAAAATAACTATAATTGACATACAGTAACACAATCAAAAAGGCCTACAGTGCCCAAGTTTAGTTAATTTATAATGTGTATCTAATTATAATTAATTATTTTATATTGTCACAACTAATTAACTGAATGCTTTGTAACTATAATAATAAGATAATATTTCTAATTATTGGTTTTAATGATATATCATTAAAACTAATAATGAGAATTCCAATTAAATTATAAATACATTACTAAGCAGTTGTTGTACCTACCTAATTCCCTTTTTAATAGACTGATTTCATCAAGCAAGTTAACCTCTGTTGGAATCCTGGTTTGCGACCGTGTGGATCACACTTAAGTGTGATCCACACGGTATTTCAAAATAAGTAACCTAACCTTAAGGTTAGGTTACTTATTTTGAAATACCCGTCATATAATATTTATTAATTTATTGTTACAGAGTTTAATGGCGATTATAAAGTTCGGCTACGCATTAGTCGTGGTCACCCTTCTGCTTATGATATGGGCATCATTATCCAGGGCCTTAGAAGTAAGTATTTAGAAGACACCAAAACCTACTACACAGTGCACAATTAATAAAAATGTAGCTACCGAAGATCTGTATAGGTGCCGTAGGTGAAAGGTTTTAAAAAATTAGTCCTTTAGTTTTGGCGCTTATTGAATGCAAACAAAAAACCGAACAAACAAATCTTACCACTTTACAATATTAGTATTGAAAGAAAATTGTATCACATATCATAGACAATTTGATTAAAATATTTCAAAGCCACAAAGCAACATCCAAATTTGTTTCGACAACTATTTTATGATTAAATTCTTCTTTATATAACCTATTTATTTTTAAGATGAAACGTGGCCTTTTATTAGATGGCTAATAAAGTTGTTGACCGAGATTACGTCCTTGTGGAATTCCATTTCTCGTGGCAATTCCGAGGAAATTGTTTCTCAAGCTAATTTAATTATATATATATTTATTGATGTTAACGTTGGAAATTTATTTTACAACAAATAAAGCTTAGGGATCAGTGAGACTCTCAATCGACAGAAGATCTATCAAAGATCTTACTGAAGTTTGCGTTAGTACATAAGTTCCAAATATTATGGTATATGATAGATTTTCGTTTGCGCAGAATAGTTCTGCCAATTCCGACTATGTCCTAACATTACCATTAAAATTTTTAGTCTTTTTTCTATTAACATAAGGTATAAAATACTACGTATTAGATGTCCGTCAATCAGACTCAGTGTGGTGTGGTCAGGCGTGTGAATATTGGTGGATTGCTCGTTAGCGTGATACTTAAATCATTATGACTAGCCGACATTTGCCACGCTTCGAATTTTAATTTTTCTGTACAGGTACATTAGTGAGACTCATGAGATATCTTACAGTACAAGATGTCATACTACGGTATAATAATAAAAATAGTACTTAATTCTGAAACAAAAACTTTGCCTGACCTCAGATTGCATATCATTGTAACAATGTGAAATATTCTCAGCCCCGTTATAAAATCTAATCAGGCAAGTCGTTTATTCGCGGTGAATACTGTAACTTCATATGATTATGTCATAGCTTATTCATCACTTTCGTTCATAATGACAGTATTAGCTTGATACGAAACTTTTTTATGTATTCATTGGCCTAATGCAAGTCCTTAACGTTTTAGTCATTAGGAACCTTTTGACAAATTTCTATTTTAACATGGAACACCAACGCGGTTTAATATTCAGAAGGATAGAATGCGAGTAGATTACAAATAGTAGCAACACTTCTGCGTTTGAAAATAAATGATAACAGATGAATTTCTGCATATCCTTAATACAAGGTCAAATGTGAAATATAGATGAAGATATTATTCGTTGTTCGAATTTCACATTTAATAGGGATGATGTGGTAAAAAACGAAATTCTATTTAGCCCGTCAATCACATAATAGAAACATATTTTATACGAATTCTTTCCACTTGAATTTAACAATAGCTTAGATAACAGGCGTAAAATTTGAGAAGTGGAAGTTCTCTACGTCACAATTATGTAGAAAATATACAAAAGCGTCATGTGACATTTTAACTCAATGTGTCGCCGTAATTTAAAAATTAAAAAATACATGTTTAATATTCTATCAATAATCTATCTGATGGATTAAGAAAAAAAAAGACATCGTCCCCATTATAGTAGTACACAAAATATCGTTTCATCAAGATGCACAGAACTAAATTATATTTGTCTCGGTAATTTAAAAAAAGAAGTAGTTACTGTAAAATTGAAGAAACAGTGCTGTGAAAGAAGAATAGTGGATAGCATACGGTCGATTGTATTTATGTCAATGAATTGTAGTAATTTAGAATTTTGATCGCAAATCAACCCGACTTTAAAGGAAAAAGAAAGAGGTTCGATGGCTCAATCCACTCGCAACTTATTGAACTAATTGATTTAAAAAAGTTTATAGGTACATTATAATTAACCCACTCCCTCCACTCATAATGTCCGTATTAAATTAATTTTTCTCTAGTCTTATTAATTTAACTTTCCTATGTTATTTTAAATATTATAAAGTATATTATTATTTTATTTAACGAAAATTATTGGTAACAAAAACACTTGCCCTTTTCCAGATACACGTAGATACAGGCCATCCGTCATGCCTGTTCCAAGCCTTATGTACATGTTCCAAGCCTGCGGGCGACCTGGGCATCGTGACCTGTAACAACGTACCCCTGCTGAGGGTACCCACTATCTTGAATAGCAGCAAAGTGTTCACACTCCAGCTTACTGGCAATCACATTAGGGAACTGGAGCCACAGTTTTTTCAAGCTACAGGTTTGTTAAAGCTTTATAATTTCTCAGTGTTACATTGAAATTGAATAACTGCGTTTGTTTAAATATATAATTAAACGTCACCAAAGAATTAATAAGCTCACAAAGCAAAATAAAATACCAAGGAATAATATTTTCAGCCTAAACCTTATTCACATTCAACCTCATTCAAAACAGTCGAACTTTCTTAATAGAAGAGATAATCATTTCTCGTTACTGCCTATCTCTTATCTATCCTACCATACACAAATATAATGTCATATTTAATAATTTGTATCATTTTGTGTTCAAACTTATTTTCAGGAATATATAGATTAGCTATCAACCAGAACCCTTTAGAAACAATCCACGAAGAAGCGTTTTACGGCTTAGATAAATCACTATGGGAATTAGAACTTCGAGAGGACAAACTGACAGCCGTGCCAAGTCGGTCCCTGCGAAATTTACAAAGATTAAAGCTGCTGGACTTGTCTGGTAAGCTAAATATTCCATTTATAATATTTTGATATAAATAATTTTCAGTTTCTTCATACTGAGGCGCAATCTTTGAAACTCAAAAGATAGAAAATAATATTATTGGGCAGACATACATAGGACAAATACTTAATTATGACTAAAATATCGATGCAAAATGATCCATAGATATCATGCTGTAAATTTATAGGTGCAACTGTGTGTGTTGTAATTTTTTGAAAATTATCAAATAAAATAGAAGATTTGGCTAACATTGCATATTATAATTAGCTGCATTATATTTTCAGGTAACGAAATAACAGATATATCGGGCGATGATTGGAGAAACCTAGAAGGGACATTGCAGACGTTAATATTGGCTGACAACTCTATTGGCAATTTACCATTGGACGCATTCTCGGGACTCGAAATGTTGGAGACCCTTGATTTGCATGGTAACCATTTGGCAGTCATTGAAAGTGGCGTTTTTCGAGACGGCATGAGTAGGCTGAATAAGGTTAGTTCTTTTTTCATAAATCTATTATTTACAGTACTATAAGACACAACGTTACTCTTTAGAATGCTGATGTCATCCGAATCTATGGATGTATTTTGGATAAACTCAAGTTTGGTGATCGATTGGAATCATTTGCTCATAGTTTTTTTGTGAGTAAGAAGACCAATCTAATCTTAAAGCTACAAACAGCTGTTAGAAATTTTCGGGTAAATGTAGCACAAAATTTGAAAGTTTGTTCTCTAGCTAAACGTTAATTAATAAATCTTTCCCGGCAGTTTACTATTAGTTTCTTACATTTTACCGCACACTACTCGTCTAATAAATCAACTATAACAACAGTATTACGGCCTTACCAATAAGCATTGTAATGCGCTTTGTATAGTTATACGAAGTTTTGTCTTTTTCACTCGAAATGAAAATCACATTTGAATGACGTGAACAGTATCTGTAAATAAACATCGGTTATAAGTTTCTTTTGAGTAATTTTTGTAAGCTTTTGTTAAAACTATTAACCGTTAGCTTGTTATCATGGTGCCTGTAAAAAGATAAATCGTTTACAAAATTAGACTCGTTAAACAAAGTTTTTCTTATACACAATCAACTATTTCTATACATTCATGACCAAAGAAATGAAATAAATAAAATACACTTTTCAGCTGCTTTTGGGTGATAACCAATTGACTTTCATACCGTATGAAGAAATATCGCCGCTCCGTCAGCTGAAAGTGCTTGATCTCTCCAACAACGTTATAAAACAAGTGCCTCCCGCTCATGAACTGAACGCCATCAGATTATCACTGGATTTACTCAAGTATGAATACGCAACTTATACATATCTATAATATATAAAGCTTTTATTATATAGATTTTAATATAATTAAATTGTGAATTTTCTGTGAAATTATTAATGAAGATATTTCTTAGGTAAAACAAAATATACAATTTGAAATTTTTTGATAGAAACATAAGAAATCAAGACTCATTTTCAAAAAAGTAAAGAGGCAAATTTTATTGCTTAAAGATTAATATGTACCTAACATACGTTAAATGAATTGGTAATTAATTTATTCTCGGGCAAATGATGATTCAGTTAGTAAGAAAAATCTGCATAACTATTTTGTTTTTAATTAAGTGAACAAATATCAGGAACTTATCATAAGTCTAGTTTTCCTTGGTCATATCATAATTTGCATTGTTTTTCTCGACGTCCCATGGCACAACGCCAAGCCTCCTGACGTAATCGAAACCAACCGAAGGGCTTATTGTTTTCAGGTTGGACAACAACGTGATCCGAGTACTGTATCCCAGTTCGTTTAAATTTTTTAACGTTTTGAACACAACAACGTTGGATGGAAATCCCATTTATACGATAAGGGTAAGTTTCAATTACAGTACTTTAATCAAAAATCGTTTCTATTAAATTTTAGACAAAATTAGAATTCACTAAAGCCATTGAATATATATTACACATTTTGCTATCTTCTTTTATGAATTTCACTACTTTATTTTCCACCCACTTACTCCATTCACTGTTTTCTTTAAGTGTAATGTCTCTTGATACTATTTAAAATTGATTGATTTAAAAGTTGAATAGACAACTAATATCTCTATTACAGGAGGATGCGTTTCGTCACGCCAAAATCAAAACCTTGTCCCTACGCGACTGCAGTATCACAGAGTTATCTCCGGCATCGTTCGCCGGTCTTGAGAACAGTCTGCAGAGTCTCGATCTCTCCGAAAATAACCTCACCATGATCTCCAAGTTTATGCTCAACAAACTAGACTCTCTAAGATTCTTAAACTTGAAGGAAAATAAGGTAATTTGCCAGGAATATACTTGGATTTCTTGGAATTTATTAAAATGTGGTGACAACAAAAATATTTAGGCTCCGAGCTCAATCCTTGTGGCATCGATATAGTGAGCTTTGATAAGTTAACTTTTTGTAATTTATTAGTTATCGTGTGCATCTTAACAACTCAAATTTAAATTCATTTGATATTTGTTTTCAGGTGGACATAAATTTATTAGCAACGAATACACCAACGGATTACGCAATGACGGCTTTCAATAACTTTCAATATAAATTATTTTACTTAGATGTTAGTGGTGATAATTCGATTGAAATGGGTTTACAAGATGTCAGAAGGTATTATTTAATCATTTTAATTTTCGCCTTTGTTCCATTTATTTTATTTAGAGTGGGCGCAATACATATTCTTCGTCCACATTTCACAATCGAACCTAATCTCAAATTTCACTTCTATCTCAAAGATATCATTTTTCAGACATCCTTTTCTATAACCATCTTTACTTTGGAGCTTTCTAGCACATTAAGTGCCGTGTTTTAAATGATAATTGTATGACTTAGCGTCTATTTAATCTGCCATTATTAACAAGTGTAGTCATATTTCAGAATGCGATCTCTCCGCTACCTAGCAGTCGGGAAACTGATCAGAAAGAGCATCCGATCTGAAGACTTCCTAGAATTCGGTGTGGACATTGAAGACCTAAAGATTTACGGCAGCACTATAAATAGGATAGAATCAAGTGCCTTTCAACACGTGAGAACAATCAAAACATTGGATCTATCGGAAAACAATATAGATTTTATTGATCCCTTCGCATTCGCTGAGGTAAAATTGAAATATATATACACATGAGTAATATTCTCAATTGTCTGTATTACTAATAAAATTAATTAATTCGTTTCTTGATTTTATATAGCTTCATAGTTTAACGACGTTGAAGATGGTAAATGGATTAGCTGATGAAGTGAGAATCCTTCCGTTCGAGCCTTTGAAGGCTCTGATAGAGCTGCAGCATTTGGATCTTAGCAATAACAAGCTCAAAAATGTTCCCGATACATCTTTTCACTTCTTGTACAAATTGAAATCCCTTAATCTACAAGATAACACTATCGATCACTTTTCCAAAGGGACTTTGCAGGTAAATAACAATGGAACTAGTATTTAAAATACAGTAGATTCAAGTAGTTATTTATTAAAAGAATTAAATTTTTTGTTTGGTTGCATGTTTATTATTTGATAACGAGATTAATGGTGCAGTAGTTAGTGCGATTTGTCTACGATTGAAGAGGTTAAAACCTACTTGCCAACAAAACCATTGTGGATGGTTATAAAATAGGTGACCAATATTTTGTTACTTGAGCTTCTTCGAGTTTCGTCGTCATTAAAGCCAGCTGTTTTTAGCACTCTTCAATCCACAATGGATGGGATGGATGAAACATGTGCTCCAGTAGTTGAGTTTTTTTTTTATTTGGCTAGCTATTATCTTAATTGTCTTTGGTTTTTCTAGGGTGATATTCATAGCCAACTCCTGAGCATCTGCCTATCGCATAATGAAATGAGACAGATAGTGCAACACACATTCGTTGAACTGAAAGAGCTCCAGCAAATTTTGATTGAGGATAACCTCATAGAAACAATCCAGAGGCGGGCATTCACGAGTCTCGATAATTTGAAAGTCATAAAACTTAGGGGAAACAGAATATATGAGATCTCTGAAGAAGCATTCCAAAATATTCCTGCACTAAAAGAGTAAGTAACTTCTGTTTTTATCGATATATTTTATAGATTTTTGTTAATGAAGGTCTTTATTACAATCTTGTAAAATAGAGGCTGACCGAAATTGAAAGAAAATATATATAAATTGTGACATCATCTATGATGTCACAATTCATATATTCGCACCTAAATGCCGCCCGAGAATAATGTTGGCTTCAATATTACCAAACTATTTTAAACCGTATAGTATTTATTTTCTTTTTCTTAGTCTTACTTATTTTCGTTCCAGATTAGACATATCTTTCAACCAACTGAACACATTCAAGTTCTCTATCTTCGATCAGGTTGGCTCAGCCACAGCTTTGAAGGTGAACGTATCATACAATAGAATGACAACCCTTCACGACAGCAACGCATTAAGCTTCTTCACGGCAAATTTCTATCAACCGAAACCACAAAGTACGTCTGATTTAGTATTTTACTTAAAAACTATTATATATAAGTTACGAAAGGGTTTCTCAATGTAATAAATAAATAAGAAAACATCGCCGAAATCATTTATGGAGTGGAATGGAGTTGAAATAAGGTTTGAAAAACCCTGTTATGACTCCATCAATTTGTTCATCTAACAATGTTATGGGAATAGTGCACGTTACAGATATATACAAAATACTTTTACGAAACTTAAATTAAGTCACTGAGTTATCCAAAACTCCGTCTTCTGACGACATTAAATTAAAAATTAAATAACACCATAACCTTATGATCTTATCGGACGCTATGAAACTGGTTATTAAAACATTACGATATAATGTTTATTGCTAGTATTTTGGCTTCATAAAATAAATATTAATTGGTACATTAAATAGGTTCACATGTGTCGCCGGATACCCTACAATCAATTTTATTTAACATAATTTTTAATAATTTGTACTTCTTCAATTATTATTATGATTTTATAGCTTTTCTTTTTCCTTCTTCTTTTGCTTCTACTTAGGATTCATTTCCAAAGAAGTCAATCCTACGACAGAAGGTGAATTACAATTAATACATAATTAACTTTGTTGTATTCTATGCTCGCTTTGTTAATTAATTTCATTTTTATTTATTTCTTCTTATTATTTTATCAATGCAGACTTCTCATCTGAAGAAAACATTCCATTTGACGAAGGTGATTTCAAACATTATTTTTGTCCGTCCATATGTATATGTTTCTTTTGTATCTGCGCCTTTTTTACTGCTATTTTAATGTTATATATGTACCTAATATCTATGATTCGATACTAGGTTTTCATTGTAATGATTTGAATGAGTATTATTTTGTTTATTATTTAACGTAGGTAAGTAACGTCACAAAGTTACGAACTGAAAACGCCCTTTTTAAAATAACTGCCTCTTTTAACTCATCATCATCATCAGCCCTTTTACGTCCCCACTGCAGGGGCTCAGGCCTTCCTTATGGATGGTTAAGGACCTTTTAACTTTTAACTGTTACAATAGAATTCGACACAACGCAAATGATTTTAGTAATCGATTTGTAATTCTCAATATACAAGTACAGTTGGTAACAATCACATTAATATTATACAATTAATTGATTACCGACTTAATTTATTGTATCGAAATTGATGAAACTGTACGTTAGCAACTAATGGTTAATCGACCAGTTTACAAAGAAAGCTTTGGTAAACATGCTTCTGATTATTCTTCCCATTCTCCTTAATCTACGGTTTCATACTTGTGATTGTTTCAGTTGAACTTAGTTCAGTACAATTTATGAAAATAGTTGAGTGAAGTGAACCTTTGTAACGAAAGTTACAAAATGATGTTGTTCTTTTTTAGTCTTTATTTTGTTAAAGGTTTCAATCCACTTGATTGTGTAAACCGTTTATGACATACTGTATGCGTTTTTTTACATCATTTTAAATAACTCCATATATTTCAGGTCTCGGCACTGTATCTGTGAACATCAGAGTATTGGATTTCTCTCACAATAATATTACCTACATAGCACCTTATTATTTCAGGTAAACTTCATACTTCATAAATAAGATCTCATTATATTTTATTAATATTTTCAATGAGTACTTTACTTTCTTTTAATTTCAGACATGCGGATTTTACACTGGCAGAGTTGTATCTGTCTCATAACTTAATCAGAAATATAACAAGGGAAGTTTTCGGATCTTTGGTTGCACTGCAATATTTAGATTTGTCGCATAATTTAATTTACCACTTGGAATACGACTGCTTTGCAAGAGCCAAAGCATTACAAGTAAGCAAACATAAATAATACTGTTTGGTTTTTATAAAAGCTTTTGCATTGTGATTAACTTAAAAAGGATCTACTTAAGCTACGATAAATATCATTCTTATAAAATAGGCTAACTATCAATGTCATAAAAATCCTTTTTACCAATCGAGGACCATCTCAAACCCTTAAGATATCTAAAAATACTCGTATATATACTTGTAGTTTCTTTTTATATGCGAACTATTGATGTCGATTCTTTAACAATTTTTCAAATAACAAAACACTGCAGCCATGAACTTTGTTGCATTGTTTTGTAATTCAAATTTACTACGTAATATTGCAGATTTTAGACTTCTCCCACAATTATATCAGCGAGTTGCCGGTGGAAGTTTTTCGGGACATGCAAGGACTGATATCTTTAGACCTATCTGATAATCGCATAAGGAACCTTGCCGATAACTTGATAGTGTCACCGTTCTTGGAAAGGTGTGTATTGTTATTTTGGAATTGTTTTGTTTTGTCTATATAATCACCGTTCTGTCTTTGAAACTTTAAAATTTTTTCGCAATTTTTTTCAACCGTTAATGTACTGAAGTGTTTTGAAGCAAGTCAGAATTTTGTTGACTTTCTCGCTCTTTGAAACAACTTCTGATTAGTAAAAAGAGACAGAAGAACCGACAAAATCCGATGCGATAATTGAGATGTTTATCCTAAAAAATTGTTTAAAGACTTGCTATTTAATGAATCCTTTATAATCTAATAAGATTATAGGAATTTGTCATTATAATTATAGGGCAGTGAACATAGTAATGAGCAAATATAATTAAAATAAATTTAAGTATACGAATTCAGTTCACCATTCAGTTTTTTTCCGTATCATTCCATCTACCAATAAAGAGCTAGGCAAATCAAGTTAGTTACTTGTACGGCTTTAAAATTTAAGTATGATAAATCATCATTTCATTTAACAAAAATGTATTGTTTATTTCACAGATTGGATCTATCTGAAAATTATTTGTCGAGAGTACCAACAAATTGCTTATCCCAAGCAGCAGCAGCGAGTTTAATAGAACTAGACCTTAGTGGTAATACAATTCCAGCTATTTCTATGGCGGATTTCGTGCAAAGATTTAGGGTGGGTTTCATGTCGTTGCATATTTTGTGAAGCTTATTATGACTGTAATAAAGAAGTTGGTTTACTACTAACAGCTCGATGAAACCTCGATTATGCGGAAAGTGTTTGTTGCAAGATTTTTTTGTGAATTTAAGTCCATGCTTGTTTTGCTTATATGCAAAATCATTGACATGATTTTTAATTCGATTATTAATGTTATCAATGAAAATATTAAGTATGAGCATGATAATCCAATAATAATCATACTCTATACCAACAATATTGGTCAATAGCAATTTTTCCTGTTTCGCTTCAATAATATTTTGGTAATCAGTGAATATTTATTGTACAGTGCAGATATCTGTAAAATCTTCATATTTCTATAATATAAAACTTTATCAGACATAAAAATTCTTACAACAAACAATTGCTCTGAAGCTTTTGAAGAATCGGAAACGCTTCAATAATTCTTGTATTACTTGTAAATACTAACAACCGTAGACTGTAGCCAGTGTGTGGTAGTTAAGCTAACGTGGTGTCAACTCCGTGCATGTCCAGAACCCAGAGCAGGGCGAGTTCTGGCCAGAGGAGCCCGACTACAGCGACGAATATATGTACCACACGGCTAGGAGAGATCACACCAGAGTGTACCACCAAAAAAAACAATATCCGCAAAATATCCTGTACAAGGTAGTTATAGATCATGTTATAAATGAAGTTGAAGGTCTTCCTTACACTCGCCAATTACTATTTTAAACTTTGTTATAATTAAATCTCGACATTCAAAACTTAGTAAGGGGCTTATCATCGACCTGCTCAGGTAGAGGTTCTTGGATATAGTAGAAAAGATAGTGAAGTGTTTTAACGGTATTATTCAGATGGTCAATCAACATACATTTTAAAAATCCCTTTAAGAAAACACTTACATTATCGTATCATGAAGTTAAACAGTGTTCATGAGAACTCAACATAGGTATTTTAAATAGTATCTACCATAATGCCTTATGGCACTTGTTTTTATTAACCTATTTAATAACATGACCCTTACTATGATTTGAAATGAGACTAGCGAATATTACCAGTTCACTAGGTTTCAGAATTATTTTGTTTTAGCACATTCTTATGGTACACTGATCATTTGACTGTTTTCTTTTAGACTTCCACTTCATTTTTGTTTCTTTAGAACCCATTGCAACCTGCATGTTTTTCTTTTGTAGCTAGCTAGTTATTTTAATCATTTAGCAATTGCATCTTGTATGGTCGGTGTCTTAAACTTGATATTATAAAACGTTTGACTTATTTAATTTTCATAATGAATATTTTTTTATTTACCATAACTTCTCCTAAGACTTAAAGATTTTGAACTTTAGTAACGTAGCATTTAGATTATTTATTGTATATTTTATTAAAAAATATATTCCAGTCATTGATGTGGTTGGACCTATCGAACAATCATCTTGTACGTATTGAAGGCGGGACATTCACTGCTCTTCCTAAACTGAGATGGCTAGATCTCAGTAATAACCAACCTTTTAATGGTGGCGAAAGAGGATTTACAGTTTTCAAGGGATTGGAGAGGAGGCTTTTCCATTTAGGGCTAAAGAATGTTAGCTTACTTACTGTAAGTACTTTCTATTGCTTTAAAATTAATCTTTTTGAACTTTATTTTGTACATGCTAATTATTTTCGCCAATCTTTAAATTAATTAATTTACATAAACACTTTATTTACTGTAATAGTATCAAGTGTATAAACGTAACGTAATAGAAGTAATCTCTTGGCCAAGTGTTTCTTTCCCTTAAATGCTACTATTAAACATACAATTGTATATTTGTTTATTTTTATTAGGTGCCTTCAATGCCTCTACCGAAACTGAAGAGTCTGGACTTATCATACAATAATCTTCCATCGATACCAATAGACGTAACATCTAATCTGACTCGATTGAGAAAATTAGACCTTTCATACAACGACCTATCTACCGTGCCAGTGGTAAGTGATCTTGAAACTTCAACAAATGGAAATAAAAATTTTGGATAATCCTAAGTATAGTATGTAACTATTTTAATTTTAGGCAACTCAATCGCTGTCTCTCCGCTGGTTGTCATTGGCGGGCAATCCCATAACTGCTTTGATGAACAACAGTCTCTATGGAGTATCATCACGCATGGAATATCTTGACGTAACGAAACTTCGATTGAGAATTTTAGAGGTTAGTTACAACAATTATTTAATTATATCTGTCTTTGATTCAGTTTTATGGGCTTAAAATATAATTATGAATCAGCAATATTATGAAGATAAAAGATAAAATTTCCGTTCTTACAGCATGGTGTCTTCGGTAAAATGAGCGGATTGAGAACTTTAAAGATTTCTGCCTACCCTGATGTACGAGAATTTAATATACCAAGAATGCTTACGTATAATGCGGCTCTAGAAAATCTTTTTGTTGAGGTAGACTACAGCCAAGAGTTTGGCAAAGAGATGAGCGCCCAACTGCCGTGTAAACTCAACAATATTACTATAACTGGGAAACCCCTGAGATATCTTTCGCCTTATTTATTAATTGTAAGTGTATACAATAATAAAAATGAAACCATATCTTCTAATTCAAACACTTGGTTTTGATACCAAATATATAATAATTATAAATAATTAATTTCAGGGTGTTCATTCGAAAGTCTTAAGGCTGACTATATTTAATACGAGCATAGAGGAGATAGGTAGTGAAGTTTTCTGGAAACCAGGCAGAGTGAGAAATTTAACATTAGACGTCAGATATAATTATATTATGAAAGTTGCCAATCCAGGCCAGAAGGAGTGGCCGGGAGTACCTAATAATGTGTTCTTGCATGATATATTTGTCGCTGATAATCCATTAATATGTGATTGCGGTGTTGGGTAAGTCAAAGTTAGCAATAATAAATATAATGCTAAACAAAATGAGCTAGAATATGCAGAATTTCGATAACGTTTAGATCCTATACATGAAAGTCTTGTAACGTTCTTTATACTTAGATTCTCCTTTTCTTTACAGGTGGATTGAATCTTGGGACAGAAAGAGAAGACAGTATCTTTGCACAAGCCCATTCGATTGCATCGGCACTCGGGATGATGTTAGATTTGCAAGATGTCCATTGTATGATAATCGGACTCTTAATGATGTAAGTTATTTATTTTCAAATAAAAATATTGTTCGTTCGATCTTTGTTGTTAAGCAACTTTCGCAAGGATCAAAGGGTCGCAAAACGTCACAGGATAAGTGACCAAAATTTTATTATCTCGAACTTATGAGCCGTTGGTACCGGCTGCACTTGCAGACTAAGGAAGGCCTAATCCCCTGCAGTGCGACGTAAAAGGGATATGATGATGTTAATTATTCTGTAAAGAATCTGGCGTCGTTTGCTTTTACATTTTTTTTTAAATGTAAAAGCAAACGACGCCAGTAATGTTACAATGATTTAAAAAAAACTTTAGATAATTAAAGATTGTCTGGTGATGTTGTAGATATTTAATGCTTATTGCTTTTTAGGTATTATCAAGAGATTTAGACTGCAGTTGGAGTAAGGGATTTTTAACATCGCCAAATATACTCATAGTTCTCGCAATGTCGCTGCTGACATGCCTTTACATTTGAGGTCTGTTTTGGATGCTTGGGGTTTACGAAGAGTTCTATCGAATTTTGTCAAGAGTATACCAATTTTAAGAAGTTTTTAACAAAACGCGGACGGCACACTTGATTGGAAATTGTAAACAAATTGGTAAGAGCTTGTTTAGGATATAATTAAGAGATGGCATGTAGAAAAGAACAAATGTAAATAGGATCAGTCAAGAAATCCCATCGGATAAAGTTAAGAATATGGTGACGAGTGAAGTTATAATTGATGAAATGTTACGAAGGATGTATCTGTCTATGTGGCCTAACTGAACTGCATCAAGAAATCTGTTGGTGGAACCAATCCAAATTTCGATTAGTGGTATTAAACTTGGCTCTTAGTCGCGGTAAAGACTCAAAATGAGATAATGTTCATGTTTTTATACATGCAAGTGGATGCGTCGAATCTAGTGAAGCCTATACTAAATTGTGATTTACTTAATAAAATGTTTTGAGCGTGATCTCATGGGATTGATTATAGAGACGTTACCGTTGATGTCATAATTATAATTTTCTACGTTTTTAGTGTTCACTTAATTGAAATGTTGTTTTGAGTGTATAGATTTAAGATTTATTTCTGTAAGCACATATATAGTGTCTGATATGATTTAAATGAATTCTCGGGTATAAGTTCTCAAGTATACCTTTGATTGATTGTGTATTTCATTTATCATCACCAAAGTGTGCAAATTGCAATCAATGTGTTTTAGATGTTGCATTTAATTATATTTAATAAAAATAAGTTCACAAGAAAGCAATGACTTAATAACGTTTATCGTCTAAGTAGACTGCATTCTCTCGAATGATATGTGTTCGTCCATTATTAAGATTAACGACGTTATTTATAGGCGTGCTCGATTGTCTATTAGCGAAGTGTAGGGTTAAATGTATAATATCGTTTTTATTCTCAAATAGTTTTATATTAAACTTATAATTTTTATTTACTTTCGAATTCTAAATGAATGTTCCAAAATTATTATCATCTCCTTAATAGTGATGGTTGAATCTCAATCATATTCTTCTACATAAGTAGGTGTGTTTACTGATTACAAATCTTTGTACAAATCAATGTTTCCACACAATTCGGAAAAAAATGATATATAAATAGCTTGAATCTATTTAGACTCTAAATATTTGAATTGTTTATCTATTTACAAATTCTAACTGGTTATCTCGTTAAATAAAAATATTTTATTACATATATGTACATGTCAGTAGCTGTTTCTTCACAAAGCATGCTGTAACATATTGAACGTACTAATATTAAAAAATAAATAGATTTTTATTGACTGAATTTAAGTATTTCAAAGCTATCGCTGGTATATTTATATTAAGTGTTGTCTGTGTGGTGTCCAAAGTGGCTTATTTATTAAGATTTGGTTAATGTTTGTTAAAAAGTTTTATCCTTTGCAAAATTATTTATTGAATAGACAAATTTTTGGAAATTTAATAGCTGCAGTAGCGTGAGTAGATATTCCTATGATTAAATTTTGTTCAAAGTAATATGCATGTTAGCATTATTTTTATATTTTCTGTCAAGTAATTTCAGTCTTTTCCTGTCAACAGTACCTGTTTTTGGTACTGATGGTATTAAGAACCTTTTCATAAGTAAAAGTATAAATCATATAACTATTTTGTAGATTTGACGTAATTCAATAAATACTACAGGCTGTCCCAAAATAAAGTTTATTAAAAAAACATATAAAAAGAACTAAGCAATTTACTCTCCGTGAGGCTGAATGAATTCATACGAGCATAATGACTTTAATGGAACTAGTGACAGAGAGTCATGCCAAAGGTGCCATCGATAATATCGATCAATGGTACTGTTGACAGGAATGGAGTTAAATCGAATACCTCTACTTCAGTGGTCCAGTTCGAAGTAAATCAGGCCTATTGTTTGCTTTTGTTTTCAATGCCAACCAAGATTAATGAATACAGATCCATTTGCTGAGATCTTCTCTTTTTGAGTGATCCCACGTAGACATTTGTGGATTAAATAAAAAAATATGAATATACCACTGTCTAATAAGGACTCTTAAAATCTTTCATTGCATGTTATTAATTATTTTAAAAAAATAACATGACATAAAACTACATAATAAAATAAAATAATTTAAAATCAGATTATTCGATTAAAATTATCTAGTGACCCTTGTTAATAAGTCTAAGCAAATTCGTCAGTTCAATGCTTCCTACTTACCTACTTGCTATATAACAGGGATATTTTGAAAAATACCACTTCCTAATAATAAAATTACAGTTTTTTTTTTATTGATATCAGTTTCAAGTTTGTTAAAGATTTGAACTTCCATCGAGTGCGCTGTAGTTCAACATATTGTTTATTAAATATAGTTGAACTTTGGTATTGAAAACAAGGGGGCATCATTGAAACAATGAATATATTTTGTGATGTATGTATATTACTCTAATCCTTCTATTTTTGATAAAGCCGACTACTAGTATTGCTGAACTGGGCGCAGTAAAAGACCTATACCTAACTTTACCGCTTGCGTAGCTTACAATATCTAAGAATTAATAAGATAACTATTTATCACGACAGCTATACCTATACATTATTAATATTTTATTAAATGAATTGATAACTAACCAGTTTCCAAATAATAGGTCAGTAGAGTTTTTAATCACTTCGTATTACAAAATATTTGATGCTATCTTAATAAGACACTGCAACGACGTGATCTGGTGTTATTTGTTATTTTACGAATTAAAATCTATATTTGATATAAGATATTCAAGAAAATATAGTTGCGACTTGTAAATTTTGATTAATTAAGGTCGTAACAGACGGTTAAGATGCTACAATATTTTTTCTAAAGATAAAATATCGCTCGCCATACATTCCAATGGCCCAACACACGCAGCTAAGATAATATAATATTTTCATATTAAGTATCTTAAGATGCCAAGCGATACAGAAATGTATATTTCGTAGGGCATCTTAATATATATATTTATAAAGGATTTTAAATATTATCGTAACTTAACCGTGTGTGATAGCTTAAGATGTTTAAATATGTTTTCTTAAGATATCCTAAAATGAAGTATTATAGCATCTTAACTCTCTGTTACGAGCTTTATAGCTCTCTGTTACCTATTTATTATCTTCTTGTATTTATTCCTCTGCAAGGTCCCATGTGATAAAGATAGATAGTGCCAAGAAAAATAAACCTATCGATTTAGAAATTTTGCTAATTCAGATAGTTTCATATGTTTGATATTTTGCATTTTGGTGGGTTTGTCAATTCTATTCGTTTTGCGTGTCATTATTAAAATGAAATTATTTTACTTGATAAAGAAAAGAGATATTTTGCCTGAAACATAAATATACAGTATATAACAGTTAGAGCGGTCATACGAAGATCTGTTCTTGGAAGCCATGTTATCGATTTTGGTGAAAGAATAACTGCGTTGAAACAAGCAAACACAGACACAATTTTATGCATCTAAAAGATTCAATTATTGTATCAAAAATGTATGGTTACCATTTCAAATAATCCACTTAAATAAATTAAAAAATATGATTGATTTATACAATCTGTATCTAAGTAGAAATAATTTAAATTTGTAAGTTACCCGTACTGACCGCTCTAAATGTATACACTATGTAGCATGGGTGGCCAACCAGTCGATCGCGACTATTGGTCCAGTCGATCGTGGAAATTCAAAAAATATAAATAAAATCAAAATGCTACATAATTATGTACGAACTATGCTGTTTCATTTAAGATTTTAAGAAGTACAGTAATTGGTAGATCGTACTGGGTGTCGTCAGTGAAAAGTCGATCTTGGGTCTAAACAAGTTGGCCACCCCTGCTATATAGTATGTTTATTTTTCAGATCAAAATATCTCTTAGTCTGAATATTATAAGTTCACAATTCGATCGATATTTACGTAAAAGTTATGGTTGTAAAATACTATATATTTTAAATTGCAGTTGCGATATAGTATATACTAGAAACATTGTTGATATACATATTTACAGAACTTTACTTTACAAATTGCTTAATAATATTTTCAAGAATGAAATGTGATAATTATTTACCAAGTAATTTACGAATCGCGATTCTTAGTGATCGAACCAAGTAATGAAGATAATATTTCACAAATTTATTAAAAGATCATAGTTGTTACTAATAAAACTTATTTCAATGTTTATCTATTAAAGTCCTGAATAAATGTGTTTCTTTTTAAATTACTGATAAATGTAAATATATAACAAATGCGAATAAATAATGTAAACAAAGCTGCTCTAATGGCGTATCTGTGAAGTATTTCTGTTAAGGGGTGTACCAGTGGCGTATCTGGACAGGGTACAAATAGTGAAACATTATGGCAAAATTCCTTAAAATATTATTTCAAAATTTACTTAAATATCACAAATAAGTTAAATTGGAAATAAAACAGTCAGTAGACCATACAATCTTGATCGTGAGCCGAGCTGAATATTCTAAATGCAATAAGTTTTACGTAATAAGTTTGGCCTATTTTATGGTTGAGTCGACTAAAGCAACAAAAATAATTTATTGGGCACATTTACACACACATACAAATGCAGACGATTACAGAGTGTACGCGATGTGAGGTCCAAAATGTCCCAACTTGACATGTGCTGTAGATTATTCTATTTTCTTTCTTTTTTGTTCAAGATTTCTATAATATCTACCTTTTTTATGCCAGCGAAAAAGGCGGTGTTGAACTCTCCAGCGTCAGCGGAGGCTTACGCACTATCTATAATAGCTACCTACCAATTTATATAAAGAGAATTAACCCTCCGGTCATGTAATTTTAGAAATGAATAGATTTATCTTATTTCTATCTGAATATAGGCAACTCGGGTAATGGTCGTTACTTTTGGTGATACTTAGGTCAATAGCGACGAAAAACATGAGTTCATACGCCACTGGGACAGTAGGACAGGGGACTGTTTTGTCTTCACTATTTTAACGAATCTACTGAAATAGTGTGAAAATAAAATAGATAATAATCATTGAATTATTAGCGTATCAATAAATTATTAAATAAATTGTGTAGTTTTATTTCTTATTTTACCTAAATGTAAATAAAAAGCTCAATATACTCAACCATCTAAGGGCTTAATGCATGCACTACAGATATTATGGCAAATTTTGCATCCTATTAATATTATAAATGTGAAAGTTTCTTTGTTTGGATGTTTGTCCGTCAATCACGCCGAAATTACTGAACGGATTTTGATGAAATTAAAGGTAAACAGATAGGGTATTAGCAGACTTAGATAATAGGATACTTTTTATCCCACTAAACATTTCCCATAAGGTAATATTTCTGTTGTAAGTTTTTACACAAATTATTGAAACATACATTAATTTTAATATTTACAACTTAGTTCCGCATTAGCAACCGCGAAAAGCAGTAATTCGCTCTCAACGTTTTAGGATCAACGGGATCTTAAAATGGAGTGTTATGAAAATCTAATATATAATCTGGAACTTGAAGTGTGTTTTTTTTAAAAAAGAAAGGTAAGGTGAGACATTTGCTTTTCTTTAAAAAAACTAGTAGGGCCGAATATGCTTTACGAAGCCCAGGGCTCCGTAGAACCCAAAAAGAGAAACATTAATTAAACAAATAAGTTATCTCAGTAAGAAACCTATACGAAACTTGCAATGTCTCATAAAGATGGCACGCTCGGTCTACGACGCCGAAGTTAAGCAACTATTGCAAGGCCAGTCCTAGGATGGATGACCAAATATTTACTATCTCAAGCTCCGCCAATCGACACTAGACCCGCGTTGTGGATCATGGCCCACATTCCATGTTCGTCTTTATATCTGTGGTTGGCTGTGCTGTTATAATTCCACCCAATATGTCAATTTCAGAAGGTGTGAAATGAAAACCTAAAGTTTAAATAACAGCCGGCACACGGGCAGTCATATACATACAGACGTATGGAGCGAGCGATGTACGCTTCGCGCTGTGGTTAGTCTCACACTGATGCTCGAGAGGCATGTCAATTACTTTTTTCAACAGGCATCGCTGTTGTTGCAAAAAACAAGCGCACAACATGATGGCATTAAGTAGCTAATACAGCGCGGAAGCTATACTTCCGCGTGGTTAATGCTATTGGTTTTATAGCTTAAATCGCCTAATATTTTATATTATTTTAATGTAATAATGTATATATTGTAAATTTTATTGCTTTAATTATAACATAAATATATAGATACTAGCTTTTTCCGGCGACTTCGTCCGCGTGATATACATAGTTACTTTGAGCAGCATTTCTAAAACGAATATTTATTAATTATATCGAATAAAATACCTGAAATAAACTTCGAACTTTCGAACGAACGAACTTTCGTACAATTTATTTATCACAATAATAACAACTTATGTGGTATCTCAAGTCAATTCTGTTTAGTGGGTTAGGCGTGAGAGCGTAATTGACATATACACAGACTTACTTTGGCGTGTACAATATTTATATGGAATAATAAACGATTCTCATTGTCGCTCATTATATCTCATTACATTATAATAATAGATTACTATTACAATAATAATAATAGCTAATATTTTAAGTTTTCTTTTCTATTTTTTTTAAATAGTGGTTTAATCATTCATTGACTATGCCACCCCCATTAAGTAAAACATGTTACTTTATTTCTATAAAATGTTTTTTTTTACAAATAATACAGCATCCTAAGTTCACCCAATATAGGTGAATATTTGTACTCTTTAATTAATAACAGTCCTTACTTTATTCAAATTCTTACGAGTGTTAGATTGTATTCAATAAACAAACAGCGGAAACCTCTTTACTGCTGACATTTGTGTGACCTCATTACAAGTATTTCATCCCAATATCATGCTATCAACGCAACTGCTGTAATTGAATGAGATGTCCCACTGTGAGCGGAATTGAACCGCGGTCTCCAATGTTTGTCGTTTCTAGTGCTGTGGTATGATAAGTGTATATTCTAGAACAGGGTCGGATCTAGATTATTTAGTCGCTCCAGGCAAAATCACATATTTATATATATATCAATGTAACACGTGTCAAAGCTATAAGTTTTGATTTTTTGTCATGAGTTTGCTATTCCAAAAATAGAATATTATAAATATGATATTTTTGTAATCAAATAATATTCATATACTTTTACAAAACATGAAAGAACGTTCCCTCCTTTCTTCTTTTTTCCTCAATATATACATATATTGCTGTTCATTCGTCTTGCTAAAACTAGAGAACGGCTGGGCCGATAGTACACAGAGTTATCTAGTGTAATATTTTTTTCCCCCGTTTATTTAGTACATTTATATTTATCATAGATAAACCCACTACTTACATGTTTCCTTATTTTGTATAATTTCCTTTAGTCAAGGTTAGCCTGGAAGAAATTGCTTCATTAGCAATAAGGCTGCCTTTTATGTTTGTTTTAGTGCGCAATAAAGTATATTCATTCATTCATACCTATGATACTAAACTCCTACTACGAATACGACGACCGATGTAGCAGAGTAGTCCCCCATATCTGTGGTCCCGGTTGGGTCAATGTAGAAAAAAAAACAATATTGTCTCGGGGCTGTGTGTTGCGTTGTGTGTTTAGATCCTCCGTAATAGCTTTTGGCTACTCATCTTAGAATTTCAGCAATGTATGTCATTTTGTTTAATATATATTTATTTACTCAATACTGAAAAGTATATAAAATTGAAATTTTATAGAAAAACCTAAAAAAAAACATGGTAAATGTTAGCATTTTTTCTCTAGAAAGGTAAATTGAGGACACAGTCCAATCGCACCCTCGCTTTTACAGCTCCTCATTTTTGCCGCTCTGACGAATTACATGGCTGGCCCTTAGATCAGGCCCTGTTGTAAAGTAACAACACGAAATTGTATTCCTGTATCGAACAGAAATTAGATCCCTTATGTTTTAATTAAAATACCATAGTGACAAAAAGGAAAGATATAATACATTGATTTCATTATTATTTTCTTTTGACGACTAAGTAGTTCTGTTTCATGTAACTCTTGTGATAAAATACTAATGGATGCTAGAACACACCCAAAAGAACATTTCGTTTTCCAAACACGTTTCAGGAAAATTAACTAGATTGAAGTTAAATAGCATCCGACTTCCAGCATTTAAAAAAGAGAATTAAAAAATAAACTAAGTCTACAATAAACGAAGTAAAATTTTATCCTACTACATTGCGATAAAAAAGGTTTACAACTTTAAAATAAAATAGTAGAGATAAAGCAACTTCCACACGAGCCACTCGTCATGCGGACAACCCAAAAATTAATATACCGAGTAGCTCCTTGTTTCAGACGTTAAGCTATTCTCGCCTGTATGTACAACCCTTTATATATCCAGCTCGGCAACCTTCAATCTACATGAAGAGAAAGTTTCTCTTCATGTACTTGCACTTTAGCATTAAAGGATAGTATTAATAGGCTGATAAATAAACATTACATAAATGGTTCAGACCCCAAATTAAGTAGCTAAATCGCTTGTATTAAGAAATCTGAAACAACAATGAAAAGTTGAATGTCTACATTGAGCCGATAGAGCTACACTACCAAGACCTCAGTGATGGCAACACCTAGAATTCGGCGTGCAAACCCTTCGGTCACTGATGATGAAAATTACATATGAGTGAGATATAAAAACAAGATTAATAAGTGGTTGTTAAATAATGCCGTTGCATTCAGAACAAATGGTCAAACATGCCCATCGAAGGATGAAATTCGAGATACATTTTCTGTCACCCATCATATGCGGCAGCAAACGCACTAACCACCATCAGACTGAATCAAGTAATGACAGAAATATGAAAGCTAATTATTAAACTTATTCGCGTAATTAGACTTATTGACAGTCTTCCTTTTTATACGACAGTTATGATATTACCTTTACCATTTTATGTAATTAATTAGCTGTATTAACGCCACCCAAGCAGATAATAAGGGAGACGGGCGACCTTTATTACAGTGTTGCTACAGACTTATTATTAGTAAAATAAAAGTGTCTTTTTCGTTAACAATAACATCTACTTTGTGTTAAAGAACATCATAATACTTAATACAAAATGCTTTAAAAAATCCACTTTGTCCCTGGCACTCTGAGATGGGACTCGATTCTATAATCTTTCGCAACCCGGGCGAATGCTCTAAACACTGACCCAGGGCCTGACGAATTTTTTAAGCACTTGTTACTTTAAGGCGTGTGTTCGAGTCCCATCTCAGAGTGCCAGGGACAAAGTGGATTTTTATAAGCATTTTTAATTAAGATTAATTTTCAGTATAGCTATGTAAATGCAAATTTATCTAATATAATAACCATAATACTCGTACTTACCTAGTCTTACAATATAGATAATATTATATTGTAAAAGAAAAAAATCTTTAAAAAATGTAACCAGCAAAAATGTGTAGTAAATCATGCATTTGGTTGGGAATTTAGTAATTTGATTGCTATGTTTTATAAGTATGTGTACAATAGAGCAACCTATATAAAGCCTTTATGAGATCACGATTAATGTACATAAAAAATATTAGTCTCATGATTTGTAAAGGACACTGCCTATAAACTCTGAATTTGAATTCCATAAAATTTACGGGGGAACATGAATAGATAAGATTCTGTTCCTCGGGCAATTATTTTATTTACTTCTCTTCTTTCTTTAAATACCAAAAATGTGAAAGAAGCTGATATACTACCTGTATCAATTAAACTTCCGCATTTATATATGTACATCTATTTTAATTAGGATTTATTATATTTGAAATGTTCCGACTCCGAACGATATCATTCGATGCCAACTGAGGTTCAACATACAACATAAATTCTACTGCCGATGGCCCATCTTCATACCACAAATTACATTTTACCGCCAAAGAAATGCCCTTTGTGAAACCAGACATCTGTATTGCGACCAAAGGTGATGGATTTCGAACATCTAAAGGAAACAAGCTTGGATCGAATCCCGGGGGATATGGATAGTATGTGATTCTACCTATATGTTCTTTATCGTATGAATGGTAACCACTGCAATGTAACCAAAGCTTTTCACTTGATGCCATCCATTCCCTTACTTCTTTGGGAGCATCAGCTGCTTTAGTTGAATTTCTCTGCAATGGTTTACCAGACCATTTGAACTGACGGTTAATTCTTATAATAACACAAGGCTCGCTGCCGTAACCGTATGGAGATCGGGAACAAGGACCCAAGTAAGTATAATCAATATTCATATCTCTTCTGCTTACTAATAATCTATCTATTGCTCTTATATATTTCTGATAATCTATATCATCACCCGATCTGTACCAGATCATGGGATAGCTGAATTCTGATGTTGGTGTCGCTGAAAGTCCGACGCCGCGTTCTGAATAAGTAAAAAGAGCAGTCCTGTCTACAAGCGAGTATTCTGAATGTTTGAAAGCAGTCAATGTGGCGAACAGGAATATCAACGTGTAGGTGCACAGAAACATAATGTACATGACAGCATAAGAAAGGATATACAACCAACTCTTCGCGGTTCTGCCGAAACATGACTTTTCCTTTTTATTGTAGATGAAATCGAAACATTTCCGTCGTCCTGTTTCCACGTCTTGGCCGGGTTCTTTTGAAGTTGATGGCATTATTGGTTGCGCTGGTGCGGTGTTACTATTTATTTTCAGTACGGAGCCAACTCTTTTTTTCGCTTTTTCACTGTTCTCGCTTTTTGGTGCCATTGTGATTTATTATATTTATTTACGTAGGCAATAAAAACACGGCGTCTGACAATATCATTTTGATAGATCCAATCAAAGGGTAAAATATATGAAGACAGATTATACTTATTTCTTACGTATAATGTTAAAACGGCCATAGTAAATGAAGATTGTGATTTAATGCTCTTTGATTGATCAAAATCGCGGAGGCCGTGGTGAAATCATAGAGCTTGTTATACGCCGAAGCTATGGTTCACAAAATTTAAAAATAAGTGGTAGTTCCTTAGAAATCTATACTTATATTATTAAGAGCACAGATTAGAGTGTTTTTTTGCATAAAATAGGCTCCGAAACCATTGGACTATTTAAAAAAAAATTAATACATACATCATAACATAACGGATAACTACATACATCATACACTGGTATACATATAATATGGTATGCCGAATTCGCGGGAAAGCAGCTAGTTACGATAATAAAATCCTTCAGTATTAATTATCACCTTTCACCTTAAAGCTATAAACTTCAAAACTACTGAGTGGATTTTCATGTAGTTTTCATCCAATGTACAGAGTGATTCATGAAGAAGGTTTTATCATATAATCGAGTAGGTTAATGTGTAAGTTAGCTGAAGTATCATAATTAATTCCGCCAGTGGCTTCGCCCACGTGGTCCAGTATTATACATAAAAATCTTCCTTTTTGAATTACCATATGTATGAAAAATTTAAAGACCGAAGTATACGTATGGACAAACAGACATTGTTTTATTCTGTTTTTATAACAGAGTAGTAATTTCTTGAAGTAAAAATAAAGGTAGGGTAAAAACGATGGGTGCAGATACAAGAGATATTTTGAAACGTGAAGTTAAAAATAATGAAAATTTATTTAAGAGTTAAAAAATTGGTAAAGCGGCAAGAAGAATTTTCCGTGGATGTGTTTTAAGCATCGACGACGAGGTGAAGCATCATTAAATATTGTTCTCGAAAGTTCCATTACGGATTTAGGTATTCACTTTTATTAAATGCGTCGTTTAAGCTTTTCTCTTAATATTATTTCTTTTTCCACAATGATACGAGGTTCTGAACATTTTAAAAGAAAATTATAGCCTTCGTCACCCGTGTATGTCGTAGTTTCCCATAGGTCAAAAATTATTCGTGAGTGGATCAGTATTTTCGTACATTATTACCCTTTACAAACATTAAACATTAGAAAAGTGAACGCTTTATAATATTAACGCTTTATTAATATTAGTCCAAATAATAAAAATAAAGAATACCATAGCTCCTTATATTTTCCTAAATTATAAAATTATTAGTAGGGAGACCTAGGACAGTTGTGACAGGGGTGAGTTGTGACAAGGAGGATTTCTCTCTACCTATTAAAGTAAGCGAGATGGCATTAACGCTTGTTTGTCGTTCTCAACACGCACTTCTCAATTCAGTACCTGCCGACGGTGCACGTGGCACAGTTTGGGTAAATATATCGTACAAAAAATTGCGAAAAGTATTTTTTTCTTAAAAATATTATTTGAATATATAGTCTTAGTATATGTGTGAAGAAGAAGCAGAAAATAATTGCTTTTATTTGGTTTGCAGCAGATCGAATGAGCAGTGGGTCCAATGCCTAGAATGCAAAGGCTGGGTACACATAGATTGTACTGGAGACGAGCTGCATTACGTTTGGCTTAATTGTGAATCTGATTAGATTAACATTTTATACTGATTATAATATGATTGATCTCAATGCTATGCCATATTTAGCTAATCAAAATATTATAATTACTTGTTATGAGAATATTAATACTGATGTTTTAGTTGGTAGGTATTAAAAGATGATTAAAGTGCTGTTTTGATAAAAAACGTGCTTGATTTATTTATGTCATATGTAATGATATTTTTATATCTAATAGCTTAAATACAATGATGTCAAAACTTACCTCGGTGGTAGGAGAGTTGTGACATGGGGAGTGATCTTTGACTGTGTTGATTTTTTCAGGAACTATTATGCTTTAATTAATTTTAGTGATGGTTTTGAAAACAGTAGGAATAGCGCTAAACTAATTCACATGAGTCATAACTGTAGAATGTTTCTTAAGTGAGATAGAGCCCCTAATGTTAAATTGTCACAACTCTCCTCGGTCTCCCCTAATGATTATACATGAGATATTTAAAGTGATTCTCTATAGATAGATAGACAGTTTATTGCTAGATGTTGATATGTTTTCCAAGTAAAACATCTTCGAGATCCCTAATTTGATTCCCTGACAATCAATTGCTAGAGTGTGGGAAAAAAAATAACTTTTTGATATGTTATTTCGGAAAGATAAGATTTATTTATTTATAACTTTACTTATTTTCTGAGGGCTCTATGCCGATGTGGTTACCGCGTTCGTTTAGCGATGTCCTTTCGCAATGACTAGTCATAAGTTATGGTAACGCCAACATACATTTATTTAATATTAATAATTAATTAATTATTCACGCCGCTTTTACAATAAGTATCCCCATTTTGTATTTCTCGCTTGTTGACATTAGTACTTTTCCTGTCTTCCTCCCTCTTTAACACTGCACAAAAATAAGAGAGAAAGAGCGGGACAGAACCTATTCCCGCTGCATCTGTGGCGTCTTCGCTAGGAGTCGCCAGTTGAAGAAATTCGCCCGCCGCGTCTTTCTTCTGTGTTTCGCCGTGTCATAAAACTGTATAATTTCGCTTGAATTCCGCATGTTATACTAGTGAGCAGTGTTGATGAGAAAATGCTGATGTTCTGTGCTACTTTAAGTGTAAAAAACGCTACGCCGTAGGTTTTTCTTAATACGTTTTCACTGAACCTACCGAGGCGTTTTATTACGCCCAAATCAGCGTCTAAGTGTTTTGGAGGAGACAGGCCTGGTAAACAGGCCTATCACGCCTGTAGACGCCCACCTACAGCGCCGTGATACTGACGCAGGAGTCGCCGCCTACGCTCGAGAGCCGCCATTGTGCCATATTGACTACAAGTAAGTGCAGTGCCTCTCCCCTTTTATTTCCATTGATTTCGTACTTGTCACCAGCTCGTACCTCGCAGAAACCCGCTGATTTAATTATTTATTTTCTTGACCACGCCTTACAGTCCACACCACGTTTTTATGAAGATTTCGATAGGCAGGCTATGCAGGGGCCTAAGGCCATAAAGGGCGCCTTCAGGTTAGATGACAAAAAATGTATTATCTCGAGCTGCTCCGCACTTTGAATGGCATGTTATGCCGTAGTTCCGACTGCATCTGCAATCGGTAACACCCACCAATCTAAACTTAGCCAGCGTGGTAGGCCATGGCCCATTCTCCCGATTACATAGGGAAGGCCTTTGCCCCAATAAAAAAAAAAAATTTTTTTTTTAAATCCATTGTGTCCAATTCCAATATCCAAGAAAAAAATTTGTAATCGTCTAATTTTTATCAGTTTAAAATTCAACTCAAAATTAAAGAATATTAAACGCAAAACTGATTAAATTATACTATTTTACTCAATTTCACGTAAAAATGGTTTAATTAGGAATTTAGATAATTATATTACACACTTAATTATTTCTTTGACTACCACTTTATAAATAATTGATTAAACTTGAAATGTAAGTAGTCGAAACTTAAATGTCACGGAGAAATAAACAGAGTCAGAGTTTCTAAGTTCGCATTTAAAGGATTAACTGAAATCTGAGCAGTTCTCTATTCTTAACGTCTTATTATAAATCGGGGATTAAAGTTGTACTGCGTTTAAATCATCGGCAGCATAAAGCTTAATTGACTTGGAAACTCAAAAGTGTTGCCGGATCTACGATTTTTTTAAGCAGGGCAGACTCGCATAGCTCCCTCCTCTACCTTCTAGTCAATGGTCGATAAAATGCCTAGTTAATGGTCGATAAAATGCCTTCTGTTAAAAAAGTCAGGTGAAAGTATGTGATAAAGACTACAGATGCACTCTGAACTAACGACTACAAGTGTCTTCCAAGATTATTATATTTTGGTCACCCATCTGATGACAAACCCTTTTGAAAGTAGCTTAACGTCCGCAATCGCAAACTCAACCCAACTCCCATGATGAAGCTCTTAGTAGTAATTGTTTCACATTTTCTATTTTTAACTGACCTAATGGCGATTCAATAAAGGTTAGTTTGTGTACATAAAGGCGGTAACGTCATGCTCACCGATTTATGAGTCACTAAGATGTACATACTATGTACATTGCATTGCACTAGTCCGTCTGTTACTGCACCTTTGTGCTGTAAAGTCTACTTAAACATTCTATATAATAAAATAACTAGGAAGTGCCTAACATTAAGAATAAGTTAACTGCTTTTTATAATTATTACATTTCATCAATTTTGCTTTCACAATGCACTGTGAAAAATGCCTAAAATTCCATCAGGTACTCTCAGATGGGACTCGAACCCAGGACTTTTCGCAATCCGAGTCACTCCCAGAGCCAGATTTTTTACGCATTTTTCTTTAGAAAACTTTTTTAATTTATTAAATACTATAAAAACTGTGTTAGAATTAAAGTAATATGAGATAAATAGGCTCGCTAAATAATAGACGCAACGTGAAATATATAGTCGATTTTATTCGTGAACGTATAGGAACGTAATCAAGGAAGCTAGCTACTTCCTATACACAGATATGGATGCATTCGGAAATAGGTGATAAATAAATAAAGCTGCGTTTCGTTGCGTAAATAAAGCACATTTCTTCATATACTGTATAATATAGTACATTGATATTTAGGAAATAATACAAATGTGACATGATATCTTCGATTTATAGTTTCGGAGATTTCGGCTAACAAGCAGTTGTTGCACAACATAGCACCTTGCTATGTTGTGCAACAACTGCTTGTTAGCCGAAAACGCTGTCCCTCCAAATTCAGGCAGACACGTGACGTCACGCCTAGTACGATAGAGAAAAACGTATGGGCGTCCAAGCGATCTTTGTGATATCTTTGTTGTTTGTCCATTAATGTATATAGTTGTTAAAATGAAAATAT